GGGAGAGAGAGAGAGGGAGAGAGAAACATTGATGTGAGACAGACACATCGATTGGTTGCCTCCTGCATGCACCCCAACCTGGGCCAGGGATCAAGCCTGCAACTGAGGTACGTGCCTTTGACCAGAATCAAGCCCAAGGCCCTTGAGTTTGCAGGCCTAAGCTCTAACCAGTGAGCCAAACTGGCTAGGCTAGGGCATGAATGTAATTAATACCCTGAACTATATGCTTAAAAAATGGTTAAGACACTAAATTTTGTTATGTGTATTTTGTCACAATAAAAAAAAAAAAAACTGGGGGGAAAAATTTGTGAGATAGAGCTTTTAGTCTGGTGTATTGGCAGTGGAAAAGGGAGAAAAAAGAATTGACATAAAGAATTAACATTTATTGAGCACCTATGAGGCCCTGTGCATACACGATCTCACGCAGCCTTCCTCTGTAACCTGTGAAATAATGACAATGGACATCTACTATATATTAACGCATACAAGTATTGTTCTGAGAGCTTTATAAACTCATCTGCTTAATTTTAAAACAAGTCTATGAAGCAGGGCCCACAGTTCGCATTTTACAGACTGAGGGCATGGATACACGGGGACACAGAGTGACTTGTCTAGAATCACACAGCTGGTAAGAGACAGACCCTGGATTCAAACACAAGCAGTTTGGCTCCTGGGCTTATGCTCTTAACCACAACACTACCAAGACACGCAAAGAAACCAGACCCAGAGGCTTAAGTACTCACCCAAGTCACCCAGCTAATCAGTGGGGTTCAAACTGAGCTCTAACTCCAAGCTCTCCCTCCCTGCCCTCACTCTGGGAGAACCTGAAGCTACGAGGAAAAGCTGAGAAGGAGTGGGGGAGAGAGGCTGGAGCCTAAGCTAGCCAGGCCACGTAGACCAGGTTTCCACAGCTAATAGAAGGAAGACTCAAACCAGGCATCTTGCCAGGCCCTTCTAGCTCTAGATTTGTAAGACTATGGGCTGGGAACTGGAAACAGGATGGGACCAGGTGCCCCCTGCTGTGCTGCCGACTGCCAAATGTGCACAGCAGCTTACCTTTGAGGTTGGTCTTCAGAGCTCTGTCATCTATCAGCTCCAGATGCTGCCAGATCCACTTGTAGTAAAAAGGCGAGGCCCCAAGGTCTAACAGCCGCAGGACTTCACAGCTGCCCTGGTCACATCAAGAGACACAAAACCAAAGGCTTAACCCCAAGGGCTCCAGGCAGGCCACACTTTGAAAATAAGCTCTCTGCATTATGTCTCTCCCCACTTTGTTTTACTTGCTCAACACAAGTAGTTATGGGTCCTTTTTTTAAAAAATGAAACTGTTATATACTTATAGAAAATTCAAATAGCTAAAGAGGCTTGAAAACTAAATACAATGCTGGCACTGGAAAAAATCATTGAGGATGTTATTGGTACATTTGGTGAAACTGACTATGGATTATAGGTTATATATTATATCAATGCTAAATTCGTGGATTTTGATAATTATTCTATGTTAATTTCTGTCTTAGAAAATAATCATGTTAAGTGTACAGGGGTAAATAAGTATGATGAATGATACTTAACTCTTAAGTGATTCAGGCAGGAAAAAAGCATATATATTAAAGCAAATGTGGCAAATGTTAACAAATGATGAATCCAGGTGAAGGTTCTAAAGGAGTTCTTTGTACTGTTCTTGAAACTTTTCTATAAATTTAAAATCATTCCAAATTAAAAGTTTAAAAAATATTCAAACAAAATAGAACATAGAGAAAGTTAAAACTGTTACTCTTAACACCCAGAAATAACAAGTATTATTCTATGTATGCCAGAATTTGCATGAAATTGGAAATAATATTCAGATGATCAAAAGAAGTCAGACACAAAGAACACATACCATATGATTCCACTTATATGAAGTTGAAGAACATGGAAACGCAATCTGTGGTGACAAGTCAGAAGAGTGGTTACTACAGGGGGACTTTGTCTGGGAAAGGGCACAAGGGAGCCTTCTGAGGTGCTGGAAATGTGCGCCATCTTGACTGGGTGATGCTTACACAGGTGAATAAATATGTAAAAATTCACCAAGCTGTAAGGTTTAGATTTGAGTCCTGTATCGCATATATGATACACCTCAAGAAAATATTTTTGAAGATTAATATTTAGCTTGTTTCTAAACTGTCTCTATTGTATATAACTCTGATTTTGTTCAGGACAACAAAATCCCGTTAAAAAAACTTGCCACCTTCCCAAACTCTCCAGCACTGGGTGTGGCAGTGACCCAGCTCTGGCTAATGAGACAGAAGTGGAAGACTGATGGATAAAACAGGAAACCAAGGTTGTCCTTCCCCCTTCCCTCTGCTTGAAACTCAGATGTGATAGCTGGAGGTGGAGTAGCCATATTGTGACCATTAGGATGAAAGTCATAAGCTGTGGATGATGAAAGTAGAAGCTAAAAGGGGCCTGGGTTATGGAAGACTTCCTAGATCAGCTCTGCTAGCCCTGGATTGCTTAAATCTAGATTTTACTCCATGAGAAAAATTACTATTCATTAAGCCACTGGAGGTGGGTCTCTGTGACTTGCAGTGGTCATCAACTTAAATTGACAATCTTGTCCATACATCTTAATGCCTAGAGTGGTGACTAGGCAGTTCACAAATACTTGAGTTCTCCTCTCAGGCACATGACAGGATTATACTTTTCTACTCTTTGAATTAGGCACGGCCTTCTTACTTGGTCAATTTCTGTTAGCAAAGTGACTTGTGATACTCCGGGTGGAAACTTTAAAAGCCACTGCTTGATTCTCAACATTCCCTTCCCCTGTTCTATTGGTCATGATTCAGGCTGGCTTCGGGGCTCTCCACTACCAGTTCTTCTAGGTTCTCATCCATCTTTTCTCACAGGACCATCAGAATTCTCCAAACTTATATAAACCCCAGGCACATCCTTACTGCAAGCTTGGCTTCCCACTAGAGAGTCTCCAGTGGCCTGGGTCCCTGAGTGACTATAAATAGCAAGTAGAAGGTTGAAGGAATAAATCTTTGTTAGTTAATCCACTGAGATTTGAGGTTTATAATTGCAGCCGAAACTAGTTTACCTAAAAGAATACCCATGTTTGATTATCTCCTTGGGATTAATTCCTAAAGGTATGCATGTTTCAATACTCATTGCCAAAATGCCCTCCAGAAATGTGAGATCAGTTTACACCCTCTGACTGTGCAGACAAGAGTCCCTTGTAATACATCTTTTGTCCCATTGACAACTGGATTTGCACAATCCTTTTAATTTTCCCTAATCTGATAGGCAAGAAGAATATGTCATTTTTAAATTTCATGTCTTTATAAAATCTTACCCATTTTTAGTAGGAACTCTAAAAGACACATTATGAAGCGTTAAGGTCCAAGACGGATTACTGTTGAAGAGGAAGAAGAGGGATCGAACATTTAATAAGCCCTTTCATATGCCAGGCAACGTGCATGGAGCTTTATTCAACATTCATTCAACAAGCATTTATCAACCAGGAACTGCAGATGCTAGAGGAAAAACCAAATTTCTTCTTAGAAAGTCTCTCATGGGTATTAATCACATCTATATCTGTGGAGAAAACAATTTCCCCATGTGTCCTCAAATGATAAACTGTTCAAAATGAGTTGATTATGGGCATTAATTATGTTGTAATGCCAGCAGGAAATCAAGTTCTTTCTTGGGTCTCAAGGACTCAGAGCCACCAGCTGCTGATTTTGCCCTCTAGTGGGAATATGAATAAACTATACGAGTCAGGACAGCCCGGTCTCAGCAGATGAACACCCAAGGAGCTGGCTAGGCAGGAAATAAAAATGAGAAAAAAGAGCAGTTCCTTTAGAGGAGCAGGTGCTCTTGAACTCAAGCCAGAGGGGCCACACCAGAATACAACCTGGTGTTGCCTGATCTTCTGAATATTCAAAAGAAGCCAGAAATCAGAATTTTGATGTACAATCTTCACCTCAACGATTAAATCAGCTTCTAATAAAACACTGTAAGGGACAAACCAAACTTATCTGCTGGCCAGGATGAGTTTGTGACATCTGTATTATTTTTCTCAGAATGAAGTTCAAGCACCCCTGCATTAGAATCACCTGCGACACTATTCACTTGTTCAAAATGCAGTTTTCCAGAGTTAATGAATCAGAATCTCTATGATAAGGCAAGAATCTATCTGCGCTTTTAAGAAGCACCCTAGGTGTTCTTTACGCTTACCAAAATGTGAAAATTCTTCCCTTAAATCACAGGTTCGCGGACGTTAGGGTGCATCAGAATTACGTGAAAGACTGTGAAAACAGATTACTGACCCCCCTTCCTCAAAGAGTTTTGGATTTAATAGATCTTGGGCAGACCTGATAATTTGATTTTTAATGAGTTCCCAGGTGATTCTGAAGCTGCTGGTCCAGCAACAACACTCTGAGAACCGCTGGATTAGAGTATGAATGTTAATTGAGTATGTGCTAAACTCTCATCCTTATAGACTTTATGGGGCAAATTGGTCCCATTTTACAGATGAAGAAATGGAGGCCAAAACAGATTAAGAACCATCCCCCATGTTCTGCTGGTCAGGATGTAATCATTCTGCTGATCAAAGGAAGTCTTGAACTTACATCCCTCACTACTTGTCCCACCCCAATCTTTTTAGGAAAAACAATTTTTAGGAAAGACGAAAAAGATATCAAGGGAAGGAACTGCAAATGATCCAGGTTGGTCTTCAGGGCTCTCCACTACCAGTTCTTCTAGGCTCTCTCCCCTCTCTCCTCCTGTGACATCAGGGTTCTCCAAACTTACGTCACCCAGGCACAGCCCTGGTATGAGCCCAGGCTCCCGCTCTCCCCTCAGCTGCAAGGGCCTCATCCTCATTCCCCCCAGCTGGGTCAGACCCTGCGCCTCCCCTTCTGAGTGCAGAGGCCAGAAGCCAAACACTACATTTCCCAAACTAAGGCTCTGGATGTGATCTGGGTTCCACCAATTCGATGCACTTGGGTAGGCTTGGTTTTGGAACTGCCTGACATCCATGTTACCAGTGGAGACAGTGGTTTCCTGAATGTGGTGGGCGCAGCAGCACCTCTGGCAATCTAGATCTGGACTCTGATCTGGAGCTGTTTGGGAGTCATTTTCAGTCTAGGTCTGTTTCTTCAGCGCCCCCTCTATGCCCCCAGTAAATCTGTTAGCCATTTAATACCGTCCAATAAATCCCTTGCTGCTTATGTTAACTAGACTTGACTGTGTTCTCTAAGGACTGAACCCAGAATAATACCACAAACGCATCCTGGGTGCTGCTAGGGTTAACTGGCTCTCTAGGAAATGTACACAAATCTATAAAATTTACTGTGTATAAAGGGTGTGTTATAGACAATTTATAAATAACAAAATAAACCATACTCTTTTTAAAAATTCCATATTGCCAATCGATTCTCACAGAACGCTTTTGTTGACTTTTGCTGAACTCTTATGTCCATGGCCAATTGATTTGTAGTCACAATTCAACCATGATTTGACAAATGAATTTGTATCCCAATCCACTCTTTTCCCAATAAATTCAATATTATTAAATCTGATTTATAATCTACTGGTAAGTTATTTGTCACTCTCATATAAATTATATTAAATTGAAACCTTTTTTAGCTTTATCACTGTGTATCAGAACTTCACTGTCATCAACATGACTAATTTCTATGATATCAGATAATACTTTTTAAATACTAGAACAGAATTTTCTCAATTTTCTTCTCTTCATAGTGTAATGGCTTCAGACTCTACCCACTAATAAATATAACCTGCATTATAAACATTTTCTCTATAGCTTTCCTAAGACAATCAGCAAAGCCATAAATCAAGACCTGACTTAGACTGTCTGCCAATTTCCATTGTGTACATACTCCCACAGTATCCAATTTTAAGCTAACAATGTGAGTGAAGTCACTGAGTGTGGAGTTAAGAAGAAATGTGCACAATGTATACAGTATTTCTGCCATACAGATGCAACAGACATAAGTAACCTCAAGAGCATAGATAATACTCAAATGCAGTAACATCATTAGAAAATGATGAGTGTTCAGCATTTATTACTCTTGTTTTCAATATAATGTATTTAATTATAGGTTTATATAATTTTTTAATAATTATAGTGTTTACCGACTCACAGAATTCCTGAAAACCTAATCAGCTCTCGAAGGCCACTATAAGCCAGCTCCAGCACACAACCAATGTTGCCCCTTCCTTTTGCCTAACGGTCCAAAATGTCAAGGTTCATCCCCCACCTCACCTCTTCCAGCAAACCTTCCTTAAAGCCTCCAGTATTTAGAGAGCTCTCTCTCTTGAATCCTTATAACTCACAGAGTTTGCACTAATCACTTGGTAGTTAACACTGATTCTTTTGTCTGTGCTCAGAATCTGGTGGAAGAGACATATAAGGAGAGAGAACCAGTCTTTTCCATATTTGTATCCCTCCTGAGCCTGGACCGATGTGTCATGACTTTGGCAAAAAACTTGACAAATCTGTGGTAGTTTAACAGAAAAGTTTGGGGACAGAACTCTCATTCTGCCACTTACTAGCTGGATGGCTTTTCTTAAAGTGTCTTAGCTTCAACTTCCTTGTCTATAAACCTAGGATAATAATATCTTCCTTATAGAGCTTTAGTGGATATTTACAGTGAAATGACAGTATGTACACAGTTATTCAACAAAACACTGTTTGAAATAACAAAAGATTGAGACAACCTAAATACTCATCAATAGGAATCTGGTTAATAAAAGTACAACCATGGAGTAAAATACTACACAAGTGGGGGAAAAAATGAATGAGTTCTATACGTACTAATATGAAACAATCTACAGAAATATTCTTAAATGAAACAGCAAAGTGCAGAACAGTCTGTGTCATTTGACACCATTTATGAAAAAAAGAAAAAAAACCCATACATATGTATTCGCCTACATATACAGAGAATATGTGCAGGACAGACACGTAAAAAATTGGGTGGCAGGGGAGAGAGGTGAAAGGGAGACTTACCACTTGATTGAACCTTTTGGATTTTGAACCATGTGAATGTATTATTATCTATTCCTAAATACACGCCAAAAAAAAATTATGCTAGTAGAACCCCTGGCACAAGAGCAAAGAGCCTCAAAAAAAACACACACAACAACAAAAAAAATGGTGGCTCTTAGGATGATAATAATGATTAAGAACTTAGGGTCAGAGCAGAATCAAGAATTGATAGAAAGGTCAACTCAAATTCCAAATCCCAGCTCCTGCAGAGGGAGAGCTTTGGAGTCAGACCTGGGATGAACCCTGCTTCTGCCCCTCAGCAACTGTGTGACCTTTGACGAGCCACTTAACTTCCCATGCCTCTGTGAAATGGGAATAATGACAATATCAATTTCTCTGTGCTGCTGTGAGGCTGAAATAAAATAAACCATGTGCAGCACATAGCCTGGCACACAGTAAGCACTCAATATATGTTAGATTTTCTTTTCATCGTCAACCAACAGAGAAGTTGGCAAAGACATAAAGCAATTTGCAAAAGACAAAATTTAGATAGTAAACAAACATGATTAATCTTACTAGTGATCAGAAAAAAATATAAATTAAATTCTCAGTGAGACAGCAATTGCCAACTGCGGGTACTGCAGAACAGTGCGCAGGCCCCATCTGTCCGGCCATAGGATATTATATTAGGCAAGCTCTTCCCAGCTCCACACCCCCAACCAGACCTCTTACCCTGCAGACAAACATGACGGAGGATGACTCGACAATGTCTTTTGAGATCAGCTGCCCATATGAATACTTCTCCACCTTCCCTAGGGTTACCAGCTTCCAGAGCTTTTCATCAGACCACGACTGGAACAGATCCATCTGCCTGAGGGGAAAAGCCTGTTAGAATGCATCACCCTCCATCACAGCTCTTAGAAGGTGCACAGCTTTTAGCAATTTCCAGAAAGGGAGCATGTTGGGCTCTTGCAAATGCCTGAGTTGGAAGATTTCACACACCGTTCAATCACCTAGCCTGTAGCCAATCTCTGACCACGTACTACCTTTGGCTCCCTCTGCTCTCTTCTCGAGGCCCGCCCCTAAAGCCACTCCCCTCTGCTGCTCCTCAAACACACCTATATAATCTACCAACTGTGATTCTCTGGCTTCTGTTCCTCCCTCTGGGAGATTTTCCCCAGCTCCATTGACCACAACCTTGTGGCTCACTAAGCTATTCCCATTCCAAGGAGAAGGCCTCACTGCAGCTCACCAGCTATTCCATCCCCCAAGCCCAGCAATCCTGGCCCTACTTTGATTTCGGCAGTTCATTCCTACCTATCTCCTATGGCCTATTGGCTTCAAATAGCCCTGGGGAAGAATTTGGATTCACCTCTTTTTGCTCCCTGTGGTTGAAAGCCCACAGCAATGATCTCCCTTTCACCTGACCTCACACACCACATACATATGTTTACTTTCCCTCATATGAGGCCCCACGGGACTACTACCAATGGTCTTAGATTTTCTCAGCTCCAACAGATTATGAGCTCAGAACTCAGTGACTCAGACCTCAGTCAGGGCACTGAGTTCCATCCAGAGCACCAAAGGGGAATGGGGTTGGTGCCATGTCCAGATGAGAAGGGTCTGGAAACAACGGAAGGAAAGCAGGGCCACCACAGAAGGAGCACCTACTATGTGCCAAGCAATGGACCACACACTTCCCATGATCATCTCATTCAATCCTTACAATGACCTTGGAAGAGAGGAATTATTATCTCCATTTCACAGAGCAGGAGACTAACGCTCGGAGAAGTGATCTATCTAAGGTCACATGGCCAATAATCATTAGAGCCGAGGCTGGAAGGAAACCAGCGCTATTTTCCGTAAGAACAAATGAACTGCTCCTCCCTTAAGGATTAAGTTCCCCCTTATCAAGCTCCAGCCCCTTTATGTAGCTCTCTCTCTCAGCTCTAATCCACAGGGACGCTCTACCTATCATGATTCTCTGTAGCCTGCAACCTACAACCTGTATTTTCAATGCCAGTGCCTACAGTTCATTTGACTTTCACTCTTCCCTAAAGATAACTGAATGAGCATTGGCATGTGCCTGGCACTATGACAACACAGAGATTACAATGGTAACAAGGGCAGATATGGCCTTGCCACCATACTGATTACTGTCTGATGGGACAAATAAACTATAAAGAAAGTATTGTAGCCCTGGCCGGTGTGGCTCAGTAGTTAGGGTGCCAGCCCACACACCAAAGGGTTGCAGGTTTGATTCCTGGTCCAGGTCAGGGAGCGGGCAGGAGGCAACAAATTGATGTGCCTCTCTCATATCTCTATCTCTCTCTCTCTGTCCCCCTCCCTACCTCCCTTCTACTTCTTTACAAATCAATGGAGCCCAGCCGGGCGTGGCTCAGTGGTTGAGCATCGACCTAGGCTCCAGGTGATTGGGGTTCGATTCCCAGTCAGGGCACATGCCCAGGTTGCGGGTTCGATCCCCAGTTGGGGGCGTGCAGGAGGCAGCCAATCAATGACTCTCTCATCATTGATGTTTCTATCTCTCTCTCTCCCTCTCCCTTCCTCTCTCTGAAATCAATAAAGATATATTT